GTAATATTTTATATTTTTAAGACTTTTCCGCTTTTGTTTTTATGACCATCCTCCCAAAGACTAATCATGGATAGATCCAATGGGCATACACGACTGCTCGATAGCAATAGTAAAAGTAAATACTTTTACCAGGCCCCAAAGTAATCTAATCGATGGGAAATACTTCCCTAGATTTCATAAATTTTATTCGCTTGAAGAGCATCAAAAAAGTCGACTCGGGGGTCTAAACGTAGGACGTAACTCCCTGTCATCGTTTGCGGGGCATTAGCGCCACATACGAGTGTGTATGCAGCGCCTGAATAGTGCCCCTTTTCAGCTCCAGTGCTGGTCCTGGTGCTGGTGCTGGTTCTGATGCTGATGCTGGTCTGTGTGCTTGCCTTTTGTTTCAACGAGTATCCGCTCAGTTTAGTATTTGTATTTTATGGTTATGCTCGCATATTGGAAGCCATAAAAATGGGCAAAGGAACTAGAATGGAATGGAATGGAGAGATTGCCATTGCCCCTTGCTGTTCTGTTGGCTTTTGTCAGGGCAATTTACATTTCATTTTCGTTTAGTTTGTTCGGCGACAAATTAAGCTCAGTGGGTGGGTTTGGTTGGCTGCTCTGTGGGGTGAGCAATATTAATCCAACAGTCGATTCATATTCAATTGGAAGCCCTTTCCCCATCGATTTGCTCATTTGCCTTTGGTCCCGATTTTAGCACTTCCCCGGCACCCTATCATTGAGTGGCCCGGAGATTCTGCGATTCTGCTCCAACTCATTTATTCACACACTCCCCGGTCCCATTCGCCGTCTCTCGTTGAGTGGCTCAAGTGCCACTTGGAGCAAAAAAGGCGAATCGAAATGAAATGAGAGTGGATCAGAAATGGTGGCTCGTACCAGATGACAAGGAGAAGTGGTGCCCAGGAACAGGGGAAGGGGCTGAGTGGCGTCCACTTAACAGAGACAGGGGCGAGACAGTGACACATGCGGCTCGAACCGCTCTGCGACACAATTTTTGGCTATTTTCATCTGCTTCTCCCTCCCCTCCCCTCCCCTCCCTCATCACATTCAGTCTCATGAAGGCCAGCACTGGCAAAGAATTCAGCTTGATTATTCCAATATACGAGTATATACATATATAGACATTCGACTGATTCGATTAGTCCGGGACTCTGTGCGAAATGTGTGAGCATAAAAAATAATGAAAGAAGGAGTAAGGAGGTGAAGCAGTGCCATGGCGTTCCATCTGGCTGTTCTGATGACTTCAGCAGAAATATGAATGAGTCCGTCCCGGCTCTGGAAATTGTTTTGCTACCTTTCGTGTCGGATGGTTCATAAAATGGGTCAATTGTTTTGCCCGCTGTGCTCCATGTAGCAGAATTGTTAAGTGAGATTACAGTTGTTGGGATTCATGGAAAGAGATGCCCGATGCCCATCAGCAATTCTTATCGATTAAGTACATGATGGAGCCGCTTATATAGTATGCTAGTGTTTCGTACAATGAGACGAAGTCCCCGTAGCCAGCGCTCCATACATTTAATTTTAATATTATTTCAAAATGTATTAAAGTTTATTTTAATAAATAAATAATATTTGTAGCTGCAAAACGTTTGGAAATGTTTTTTGTTTTTTTTTTTGTATAAATACAATATTTTTATATGGCATTTGTGCCAGCAAAAACCTTGCTGCATATAGCAATTGAAATGAATTGAAATCATTTTACTATTATATTGTCTTTGAATAGATTTAGAGGAGCACTGATTTACGGTATGTCAAGGGCATATAAAGCTCGACATTTCAAGTTATTTTTTCACATTCTCCTCTTGCTCACTTCTTACCCTTTTACCGTTTCTGTTGGCTAAGTTTCTTTGACGAACAAATTTGTATATCCAATTGCATTTTGTCACTTTCGTCAAAGGCAAATATTTTGTTAAATATATTGAAAGCTTCCTTCCCGAAAATGTCCTCTTTCAACACAAGCCCCGCCCCAACAATGGGTAAAATGTTTGAGCAGTGAATGTACGATACAGGAAGACAGGGTAGAATGTGTAAGGATGAGTGGTAGGGGTCTAAAAGCGATATCTATGGGAGCAACTTCCAAGTGAGCAAACAGAGCCGGGGCAATTTTAATAAAGTCCGGACAGAAGCCGAAGCCAGGAGCTGAATGGTGGCTGGCGAGGGCATTAGGAGGAGGAGGCTGATGGTGATGGTGACTGGCATAAAACTTTGGGTGGGAATATGCATACGAGTACACTTCTTCGAGTGGATCCGAGTGGGTGTCTGCCTGTGTCGCTGCGTGTGTGTATTGTGTGTGTGTGTGTGTCAGCTGCCACGCCCCTGCACTGTAGCTGCCCCAATCATGTGGCATTCATTATATTGTCCGGCTCGGAGCCGTACTCGTACGTGTCCTCATATCTCACAGCTGCCACATATTATTCCAACAATAAGAAATGAGTAGAGAATCTTAGCAGCGAATCTATGAATACTCTGCTAGTTTTAGTCGCAGTTCTCTCACAATAATTTGTAATGTTTTGGTTTCCATTATAACATTAATATGCAGATATTCTTATAGTATTCTGATCCTTGAGGATGGCTGGCTATACGCCTTAAAGCATCCCCAATGCTTACCATCAGCAAGGGTATTTTAACTCCCCCCACTAAATAGGACAAACATGTCCCCTGTGTCCCAACGGAAAGTGCACATCATTCTGCTAGTGCACACACACACACACACACACACACACACACACATCTATTTTTTTGTTTGGGTACATTTCGAGGAAATTCTCCGCATATTTGTTCTAGGCCGTAGCAAAGTTTTGCCCATTTCGTTTCGTTTTGTTTGAGTGGCTCCCAAACCCAAGGAATGAGATTGGGATTGGAATTGGGGGAGCATTGCAAACGGGGAGGATACATTATGAATTTGCCGCCTAATTGAAGTAACTACTTACGAGCCACACCCACGGCGACGCCCACTACAACACGCCCACTGGCGCACATGGCAAATTGCCATTTCATTTGCATCTGTTGATGGCATTTTGCGGTTGCATCCAACTACTCACCCTCTCTGAGTTTCTCTATGTCCTGCCGTCTATTCTAATGAGCTGCACAAGCGTTGTTGCCATGGCCACAAAATGTGCCAAAGTGCTGACTGGGGGCCCATACAAGATTGTTGCCACCCAGCCATCCAGTCACCCACACAGCTAGAACCAGCAGCTGAACCATCGTCAGGACCACAAAAACAGTTAATTGTGGCTTAGTTGCGCTTAATTCTCTTTCAATCTTTTGAGTTGGCAACACTTGAAGCACCCCAACGAGGCAAAAGCTTTTTCGCATTTCATAACAATATTTGTTATTATTATTGCAACATTTTAATGGGCATAACCACCCACAGCCACCGGATAGGATGGCAATAGGCATACAAAGTTTTTTACAACAGCAAAAGAATGATTTAATTGTAAGCTCAAATAAATACGAAGAAATTCCTCAACGGTATTGCTTTGAAGTGGATTTATTTTATGATTTTTATTTTAAATAAATGTAGAGTTTTGTCAATGGAATTACTTGGATGTTGTTATTCGTACAATATCTGAGAAAATTTAAATAAAAATAATTATGAGGAGAATTTGCCAACATTGTTGGCATTCAAAACTCCATCTGATACTGGGGCAAAACTGCATTCAAAAACATTCAGCAAATGGCTGCTGTCATAACTGTCAATAAAAACAGAAGCGAAAAACAACATAAACCATAAGACAGGAACAAAAACCAAACCAAAGCGAATGTCAATCATGTGCTTGGGGTGAAAAAAAAAGAGAATCATAAAAATCAAACAAAGACCGAACACACAAAGGCACAGAAATGTGAATGGGTGGCATAACCCAAAGACAAGAATATGAACAGAAGCAGGAAGAAGAAAAGAGATAAGCCCAAGAAGGGGCCAACAGAGTTTTATGCCGAAAATCATAAAAAAAGAATAATAACAAATATTAAATAAGCTAGTTAATTGCAAAAAATTATTGGTCGAAGGATACTTCAAGTGTTTGGAATACGAATGAGAGAAGAAGCAATTTACAGAAAAATGTGCCATTGTCGAAGCGAAAGAGATAGATATAGATAGATGGATATGTTAACTAGTTGTATATCTATGCTTATCCAACTAGCATTCTATGCAGTAGAGTATTACATAGCTATGCGCTGTAAGATATTATTTAATTCAATGTTTATTTATTATATGAAATTGCTGTAGTCTAGCAAAGTATAGGAATAATTAACTTATTCGACACGTCTCGAAGTCGGCTGATTTCTGCTAATTGCACTGCTTCTACGGCGCACTGCTTGCATATACGATTGCTGTTCTTCTTCTTCTCTGCTGTTACTGCTTCTCTGCTGTACTGCTTGTCTTCTGCCTGTTGTTCTGTGGTTCTGCTTGTCAGCAAATAAAACAATTCAGCTAAATTAAAGTTAAAGTCTTTGCCTATAATAAGTGCCATAACACAGGCGTCCTCAATTTTCTATTTGAATAGTTTGGCTCACAGAAGCATTTAACTTAATTTAAACGTGCCAGTTCTGCTCCATTATTGGAGGCATTAGTTCAGGTTTTCCGACAAGCACTAACACAATTATGGATCTATTAGAGCTGCCTGCTGTGCTGCCCCTATATTTTTGCAGCAATTTGCAAAACCTTTTTCCATTCAGCTGGATTCAAATTGTTCGATAAACATACAACTATTTACTCCATACATAAACATAACCACTTGTAACAAGCCCCATCCCATTATTCATTCTTTCAGAGTCCCTTAATTGCGGCCCCTCCCCACCCCCACTGTATTGGCCATTGCGGCGGGCGAGGTTTTAGCAAAAGCCATCAATTTTGATTGCCGCTTGTTCCCAGAAATTAAATGATTATTAATTTTTCACCGAACTCATCAGCGATCTAGCAAATGTTTATTTTTAGCTTAGAGCTCTCCATTTTAGATTCATAATTTAATAATTATTGTGAATTTGCTTGATTACAGAAACGCGGCTGCCTTTAAAGTGAGAACAGGCAAATTTAACAAGCGCGAAACGTTTCTAAATTGGAATTTTTGCATTCGAGATTTAGAGGTAAGTAAACTTAACTCATTTAGTGCGTGAAGCATACTGATTTACCACATCACCCCACCCCACCCCACCCCAACCACTGTGCAGCAGATCCATTTCCATTGTTACCACAGACAAGAGCAGGAGAGCGGCCTTTGTCACAGGTTTCTCAGATTGACAATCGAGTGTGGGGGCAGAAATTTCAAACAGGCATTTTACGCGTTCCCCCCCCCACCAACTTCGCCGCTTCGGAAAGGTGTAAAACTTTGAACATGAAATGACATGCCGATTAAATTAATGTGCCCCCCGGCAGCCGGGTCGGGGGCTGCTGCGTTCGAGTAGGCGGGCGTACGACTGACACCATTCCGTCTTGGCTAATAAAGCGACAATGGGAAGGCCCATGAAAAATAACATAAAAACACACAAACTTTAATCCGTCTCAAGCTCAGTTGTAACTGTACCTGGTGTGTGTGTGTGTGTGTGTGTGTATGGGTGCAGGAACATAAGGGCAGGGGACTGGCCAAAGGGGACATTGACACCTGCGACCTGACTGGAAAAGAGAGACGAGAGGCGAGCGAGCGAAAAACAGACGCCGCATGGTGGCATCATTAGCCGGCGGTGCGGCACAGGACACCATGTGCACCATATAATCACAATAAATGACAATGGCCAATCCTGACCCTACTCACACATACACACACACACATCCCACACTTCCTTGCCCCCGATATTCCAACTGTTGGTACCATGAATACGAACGAGCACATGCCCGTCGCATTGCGAGAGAAGAGCCAAGTGTAAGCAGATATTTCCATTTAATCACGCTCCAATGGCGTTGACCCCTTTCGGAGTACACTCCCGCCCCACCTACCAGCACACAAGCCCTAAGAGGGAGTCAAGGTCAATGTGGGTGCTGGGATTGAATGGAAATGGAAGGGAAACAGCTGATGGGGGCGGCAGGTATTCAAATTAAAGGTAGAAAAGCTTTCGACTCTTGAAGTATAAGAATAAAAAAAATAACACACTTGCTACTCATGTTACTTGGGCATGATTACCATGATCATCAAATAGATATACCAATAGGAAGAATTATTTATCAACTAACTACGAAAATGTTTCACACTTGATACTCGTTCCGGCCACTACTATATCAATTTGCATTTAAGTAGTTCTATTGGTGTGATAAGCCAAACCCCTGAAATCAGCAAAGCCTCAAATCAAAAATTTCAGATCAAATCATACACTGCGCCAGGCCACAAAAATTGCAATCAACACAGGAAATTGAATACATACCTACATGTATATGTACATACATACATATATGTAAAAATGGTTGCCTTTGGCCGCCAACCCAAAAAAAAAACCCATTCGTATTCCCTGCTCAGTGGGGAGTCTACAATTTTCCACAAATTGCAGTGGCTCTGGGTTTTATTCATATTTTCATATTCCACTGAAGGCAGTTGGCAGCAGCAGGACACACACACACACACACACACACACACACACACCACACAAACTGCACGAATAAGCCAAAAAGCGTGCAAAATAGTTTGGTAGTTCAACGAGCAGAGCAGTCAGAGCAGTTCCTTTGCCACAGCAACAGCAACAGCAATGGGTGGAACTACCACAATGCTGCCACATTAATGTCAACATTAAAACCAAAATTACATTTGTTTGAGTTTCATTCCACCGCAAATCCCACTCTCGCACAAACAGGTGGTGACTGGGTGGCACACTAGGCGGCCAGCGTATGCCAAAGCAATCACAACATTCATTTAAAACAAGTTTAAAATGTTGTGCCCATTAAGTAAGTAATATTTTGGGCATCATATAAAGTTAGATAAAGGTCACAAAATGAAAGAAAACAAAGTGAAAGTACGGCCAGAGAGGATTTCTTTTGTTACACAGTGGTCGAGACAAATCATTACAATAATCAATTATTATGTGGCACTGACTGCCTTTCTCTGCTAACCTACAATTGCCAGGTAGAAGAACTCATCACTGAATGCTCGTGCTTCCTAATTTGTATGAGCATCTACCCACTGTGGGCGTGCGCGTGCACAAGTGACTTTGTAGCCGTAAAAAAAAGTTCAAAAAAAATGTATATTGAGAGAAGCAGCGCTCTGTCAGCGCTACACCGCGTGCACCTACACCGTGTCCAAACACAAAGTAAATCCAATGCCCCAACCAGCTACCGAGCTTGTCAGTCTCGGATTACAGCATACAAATAGACGGCACACCCAAAGGCAGGGTGGGGGTGTGGACAGAATAAATGCAGAAAGATGAGTAGAGCAGAGCCGAGCAGAGCACAGATATATTTATAGGTGGGCAGGGGACTCAAAGGCGGCGGTCGAAGGTCAAATGATGTGCGGCTGATGTTCCAAAGCTGCTTGTTCTGGCACTCGGCACGATTACGTTTTCTAATGCGATTACCGTGAATTTAAGCTGCTTGTTTGCACCCGAGAGTATGCATTTCAAAGTGACCCAAAAGTGTACTTTGTTTTCATAATGTAAGGCCACGAGTAGGAGGTTTTTTCTCTGTGTGTGCTTTGCCATTTAATGGTCAGCTTGGGGTGCATGTAAGAACTTTTTTTCAACCATGTTTCCATTGCTAAAAAAAAACTTAAACAAATCAAAATTATTGGCTGTGAAATATGGAAATTTCCCGCATTTTTTTTTAGGCTCTCTCCCACACTGCCACAGAGAGCAGCTCAGCAAACCAATTAGACGGTAAATTCCAACTGCCTGCGCTCTTTAATCCACCAACCTCCTACACAGATTTGTGTGCTGCAAAAGTAAACTAAGCGAGGGCGGACACAGCCACAGCACCAGCCACTGCCACTGCCACTTGCCACTTGCCACTTGCCACTGTCATGGCCGCAACTCGGACAAGTTTTGTGTTAGCAGAAATTCCTTGCTGTCGTGTCGACATTTGCGCTTAATTAAAAACTCAATTCCGTGCACACAGATGCACATAGTAACTACTACTCCTATATCGTATTTATTCATATACATTCCTCAAGAGTCTGGGCTGGGGGACGGAGGATTCCGTATCCCTCTGCGTTGCTTGGATGCCCCAATCAAAACCCAAAACTGGTTTCTCTCTCTGGATATCAGATAAAAGAATTTGCGCCAAAACCAAAATAAACTTGAACACCAAAAGGGACCCCCCCCCCAGCCGCCCCGGCCGCAAACAGTCGGATGGCTGAATAAGGGCGCTGTGTGTCTGCTCCCAAGAGGCGGATGCTACGAGTGGGCCAACAGCTGTTGCAGCTACGAATATGTATACACCCAGCCCCAGTCCCAGCTCTGCTTTCCTGTCTTGCCGTTGACCATTATACACGTTTGCTTTTATTTAATGAAAGCGCATGAAAAATTAAATATAAAAAAATGCTTCACAACTGGTGACAAGTGGCCGAAGTGGCGGCGAAGCGGAAGTAGGCTGCGGAATGGGGGCTAACGGAAAGCCATTAGCAGACTGAGGGACATGAAAAGAGTTTGCCGGATGGGGGATGGGGGCAAACAGGAAGAGGAGGTAAACATTTAGTTCCTCCTTTTAAATATGCAAATGGATACTCGAAACTATTTTATTATTCACACGAGACAAGCGCCTACACACACACACGCACACACAGACACAGATCCCAAACATTCAACCCGCCCCCTTCCTGTGCGCCCGCCCACTTCCTGGAAGACAAGTTTCAGCTTCCTCTTCGCCCCCCGTTTTGTTGGCCAGGGCTCTTTAGTGTTATGTGCTGTTTACGATGTCATAAAAGAAAAAAAAAAGAAAGAAAAATAGGAAAAAAAACACCAGCAAAGACGTGAGGGAAAAGCTGCAACAAACGGAAGGAATGGGCAAGAAAAGTGCGGGGAAAATTCCAGAAGCGAAACCAAGGCATAGCGCATACCCTACGCTGGAGATATTTTTCCATAGAACAGCCGCTGGCAGAGAGACTAACATTATATCATAGGATTTTCCCCATTCAATTTGTGTCAGAAATCTGTATAAAATTATACGATTTTCGTTCTTCAAATTCGATATATTTTATCTACTTACTTTTTGCTATTTCTAAGGGTTTGCTTGTGTGCTACTTCTGTGCTATTTTGTGTTGTAAACTGCTACATTTTGTAGCTTCGTTGGTAATGGCACGTCTCTATGATCCCCAAGCCATACAGTTCTCGCGCGAGGGCCGCCTCCACCAGGTGGAATACGCCATGGAGGCTGTCTACGCTTCCCACATATGCCTGGGTATTGTAGCCACAGATGGCGTTTTGCTGGCCGCAGAATGCAGCAATCATCGACTGATCGGCTGGCCATCGGAAAAGATGTTTCGCCTGACCAAAAGTGTGGCTTGCACCTGGACGGGCCGCAGTGCCGATGCCACGAAGCTGATTGATGAGATGCGCATTTCAGCTCAACGCCACAGATTCAACTTTGGCGAGACGCGTCCCTGCGAGGGAGTCGTGGCCGATGTGTGCACCATCAAGCAGTCGTACACGCAGTGGGGCGGCAGACGACCCTTTGGCGTTTCCCTTCTGTTCATGGGCTGGGACGACATCTACGGCTATCAGCTGTACAATTCCGATCCCAGTGGCAACTACAGTGGCTGGAAGGCCACTGCCACTGGGCAGCACTTTAGCGTTGCCAACTCCCTGCTGGAGGAGGAGCTGGATCCCAAAGTATCCATTAATCTGGAGCAGGCCAAGGATTTGGCCATTAAGGTACTGGATCGCAGTCTGGGCACCACCAATCTGATTCCAAACAAGCTGGAGATGTCCAGCTTGCAGCGCATCAACCATAGCTGCATCTACAATATTTTGGAGATTTCAGAAATGGAGAAGCTGATCGAAAAGTATAAGAAAGGGCAGGCAGCAGCCGAAGGGGATGCAAACTAGGGGATGCAGAAACACATACACTACAGATACACCATAGAATATACTAAGTGCTATATTTGTTTAAGGTATTACAAGAAAGGAAATCTAGCAATTGCAATGAAAAAACATAATTTTAATCTCAATCAAAAAACATACCCCTATATAAAATATTATTTTAATGTGACGTTTATGGGGAAAGCATTTAAAATAAAATATCATTAATATGAATACTTTATTAATGATTAAAATTAACTTTTATAAGCTTGGAAATAATATTGAAATTAATTAAGCAAAGCGCAAGCATCGAGGCCTTCGACTTAAAAGGTTTTTTTTTTGGTGCACTCTAGTGGAACGGAGACATTTTCTTCATCAGCCCCATGTGGGAATGAAAAATAGATTTCAAGTGCTTCTCAATTAAATATTCTTGAATTTCTTTCTTCAATTTTCTCAAGCGACATTGCCCTGTCAAATAGTAGAAATATTAGTAACCTTTTGAAAATACAGTACAGCTCTGAATATCTATGCCTTGAAATTATTAAATTCGTTAAAAAACCCAAAAAAAAACGTTTAAAGCCCAAAAAGTGAGTGAGTATTTGGGATCGTTTCAGCAAAATGATTTCTGTTTGAATGTTTGCCCCCATCCAGCAGATGGCATCTTGGTATAGTGTCGGCTTGGCCGCCCTGCTATATATCCTTTATCAATGGATTTATTCGCGACCCTTGAATATGGACAAGCCCCAGCTGCCTTCGGTGCTGGTACTCATAGCCGTTATGGATATGATTGCCCACAACGTTTATATTCACAAGGTATTAACGCGGTCCTACGAGCCCTTCAAGTTCCTCTACGAAGTGGCTTTTGGTATCTTTTACTTGGATATTGGCATGCGTGATATCTGGACTGGACTGGAAACCCAAATAATTGTACTAATTCAGCGCACACTGACCGGCTTGGAACTTGTCTCGGAGGAGAATTATTTGCGCCACAAACAGTATTGGATTGGCAGCATTACGCTGCCGTTGTCGCTGCTCATACTGGTACTGGCTGGCAAGTCGACGAAACACTTCCAATTGATACTTGAAGCCGTGCTTGGCAGTAGCGTAAAGTGCACCCAAAAATCCAAGAAGACTTTGAAAAATAAAAAACATCGCCAAGCTGCCACATAGCCATTTAAAGTGCTTGTTAGGCATCCGCATTGTTATCGTAGATGTGGAACCACCTAATAAACGGCTTATAGAGAGCTCAACTGTCTTTTAAATGTACGTATTTTCTCACACACACACACATCACGTGTCACAGCGAAGATTGAAGCCGCCTTATCCCACAGAATCCAATTGCAGCTCAAATAAAATATATACCGAACATCCTATGGTATAAGTGTACCACCATAGACGAGCTGGAGCTCGAAAACAGATTTTCCCGTTTTTAAATATTTACCCAATGGAGAGGGAGCGGAACAAACCCCACCCGTCTGACATTGAATAGAATGAAAGGACTTGGCCCCGGTCACGGCCGGGCCGGGGTTCCTTTGAACAAATAAAATCGCCTTAACCCACACACACAGACAGACAGACAGACAGACAGACGGACAGACAGATGGAAAATATGCAGACAGACAGAGTCGAACAACGACATTCCATGGGAACATCATCGACATCATCGACATGAAGCTTCCCCCATGTCTGACCAATAAGCGGCCTACGGGCAGGCACAAAGAAACAGCAACTGAATCAGAGACCCAATCCACCCACACCCACACCCGTAACCGTACCCATCAGCAGACACAACTAAGAACCGTAACCGTAAACGAACCCGTCTCAAATCATGTCAACTTAGGCCACCACGACACGCAGGGCGGGGCAGGCTCTTTGGGGCGCCTGCATGTTGTACACACATATACCCTTCCAGAGGGTAGCATTCCTCAAGCATTTCAAGGAGATGTTCCCGATTGTTACACTCAACAATTAAATGTTACTAATGTATATGCCCAGCTGAAACATGCAACAAAGTGGCAAACTTTAGCTGATAATATTCGAATAATCGAAACATTAAAATATCCAATTGAAGTGCTGAGATATTGTCTTAAGATCAGGACTGGAAATATTCCAAACAAGGGTGCTTAAACCTTCGGTAGCTGGTGTTCTTCTTATTTCTTTTCTTGCTCTGCCATCCTTTCAACAACTCTTCGGCTCCTAGTTCGCATATTTGCACAGGAAACGGAAAACGGAAACTGTTCTGTTCTGTTCTGTACTGTCCCCATTCCCTTGCTCTAGAATGGGATCCTGGGGTCTCTGCCAGAACATTTGTGTCCTACTTGTGTCGCATTCGAGCAGCGGAAATTATTTGCCTTCTTATTTGCCTGGTCAAAGGTCGCGGCATCTCTTTGAAATTCGCATTTTCCATTTCCCCTTTTTTTTTTTTGCACCCCAATGCAAATTTTCTTTTCAATCATTGACCAGACGGTACGCCCTCCCCACCATTCCACCATTGCCCACAATCTACTCGAAAACAATTTTCATTCAGTTTTAATTTATTATTGAACGAATTCTTTTCACGGCTGTTTACGGTAAATGGATAAATACTTATGTTCAGGGCCACTGATTTATTAAATTTCTTTCACATTTTCTGTGTGGTCAGTCAGGGTGAAAAATGTACCAAAAATGCAACTTAATGGAAATATTTAATCAAATGATTAATCTGAAGTTTATTACAATTTATGTACTCATTACCCACTCATAGTTCTCATAGTAGTAGTATGTTCTCATAGTATGGCAGGAATTTATTCTACGGAATGGGTTTCGAAAAAATAATGAATCCAAATGATTCCGAATGATTTAAACAAAGAAAAGGAAACCCTAAAACATTTTTTATGGCAGGATTGCAACACACCTATTGGACTCTGGAGGCAAGGCAGGATTTTACAAGTGGAATCATTCGAAAATATCGACTTGTTATTCGCTTGTCTCTTAAATTGGGAACATGACCCAAACTTTTCTGAAGTTTATTTTCAGTTTTGTCGCTCAACTTTAACAGGAAAAAAAAATCCAAAGTAAATAAACGATTCGGAAATGCCTCATACGGGTCCAGCCAGCCTCCTTCGCTTCGTTTGTGTCTTTTTATTGATGACACAAATGGGTCATTGGTTTCATGCCACCACTCGCGCCGCGCTATCTTTCTCAACTTTTTTCGTTTTGGGTGGGATTGTTTTTGTGGCCAGGCAGTTTCTGTGTGGTGCTGTTGGTCATTGCAAGGCCATAATGATAACGTGTGTCCTGTGAGCCACACATTGACACTCAGGGCACCCAGGGACAGGAAAGAAAATAAAATTAAACATTAAATGCGCCAGCCAAGAAAAGTCAGAAATAAGATAAGGCCAAAAGGAGGAAACCCAGCAAATAAAACCACAAATCCAATTGATCTATAAAAAAAATACACAAAAATACAAGTACATATAAAGTAAGATACACATACTTTTATATACATATATATTGTACGAGTATATATGAGTACGAGTATGGTTGGCATTTTGGCTGCTGCTCTGCTGCCTTTCGTGGCTTATTAAAAAGCTTTCAGCCGAAACACCAAAAACAAAAGAAAAGCCAAACGTTGTCGGATGTCGATGTCGATGCTGGGGGAAGCTGAAAACTGGGAGCTGAAAGCTGGTATGTGGATGTGCCTCTGAATGCTTGTTCTCCTGTAATTTTCCAATGAAAGGAAGTGTGAAATTGTGCCGTTATTCATTATATATATGTACACACACACACACACACATATCCACGTAGAGTTGGCCAACTGGCCTAGTCAACGAAGGCAGCTGGGCTCGTCTCGGCTCGGCTCGTTTCTGGTTCGTCTCATCGTCTCGGTTTACCTCGCTTCGGTTATTGTAAAATTTAAATTGAAAACAAACACACACCCAGTCCCGTTCCCCTTTCCGCGTCACAGTGGTTAACAATTCATTGGCCATCTTGCTGTATGTTTTATATACACTTTTATCAGGTTTTTTTTGAACGCTTGTGGATTTTTAAAGCATACAAAAAATGTCATCCTTTCAAAGCTCTTAATTTGTAAATCATTTTAAAATTGTGTGCGCAGTTTTGTATTTATTCTCACTAAAACCCTAACACAAAGCGATCTTTTTTACCATTGAACGTATCAGAAGGCTGCTCTGATTACCCTTTAAAAAGCTTAAAAATATGGAATCATTTTTGTCTATAGATTAATTAAAGAAAGCTGCAGTGGATTGGCCAACACTGAGAGAGAATCGGAAACGCTGCGCCTGGCTGTTACATGATAAATATTTACATATGCACAGTAATTTAATGGAAACCCGTGAACACCATTAGTGGCGGGCAAAAGAAAAAGGTAATGCTACTGCAGCCTGTTGGGACAGTAGAGATTACAGTAGACACCACTGTACAGGAACTTGAAGTGCTCGAATCATGCTCCTCTCCACAGAGGGTACAACAAAACTTTGTTTATTTGGAAATAGAATAAAATCGGCTTGCTATATCTTGTTGATTATATTTCATTTGCAAGTGCCACATACGCTTATCCGCATCTCTGTTATTTTTTGTACCACTGTGCTGGGGATAACACTGAACTGAAAAGACAGATGAGCCTGAGAGGTACCGACGACACTGAGGGTTGTGGCTTGCAGAGGGGTCTGGGTCTGGTGGCTGGTGTGGGAGAAGGGGGCTGGGCTGAACAGGATGTGGACGCCAGGATACGCATTGTTCCCGGGGGTTGCCAAGAGAAGAGCGCCCCTGGCCGACTTTTGACTTGTGTTTTTACAGCTGCTCTTTTTGTGTGTGTGTGTCCCCTACATATTCCCTAGCCTCTCACCCGTCCCACCTCTCTCACTTTTTTCAGCAATGGTCGCTCTTCTAGCGTGCTAGAAAATTTATGTGCGTTGACAAGTTGAGAGCACGCGGCCCACGGAACTGAGGTGAGAAGGCTCTCAGCTGGAGGCAGCCAGCCAGCCAGCCAGCCAGCCAGCCAACCAGCCCCTGCTGTGTGCCACCACTCCCTGTTGGGCCTAATCACGTAGCAGAGCTGTGCCACACCCCATGGTGTGCCACAAAAACACACACATACACACACAACACACACACACACACAAAGAGCAGCCACAGCCCAGGGAGAATCAGTTGCTACCAAAAGAGGAACTGTGACTTGGCAAATAGTTTTCGGTTTCATATTTCACATATTTTCAAGTTCAAATCAAGTTTTCATAGCGAAAAGAGAGAAAATAGAAACTCGAGGGTCGCAGAGCGATTCCCAGGGGAGTCCGAATGGCAGGGCAAGAGAAGTGGTTGGGGATATATAGAGATAATAATATCAAATGAGATTGAAAATTTCGAGAGAAACTTGTGCAAGCCAAAAAGTTGTTAGCACTTTGACCTACTTCAGCATGTAATCCTAAGTGAAATCGCTTTGATTGGCAGATTACCTATTTTAGCACTCTTTTCCCTTCACTCCATTGGCACCATCTTCAGCTCACTATCTCTATCTCCAGCTCATGCTCATGCTCATGTGCATATGAACTTCATGTCGCATGCTTAATATTAGTATGCATGAAGCTGTAAAGTTTTTAAAGCTGCTAAACGCTGATAGCAGAACAGCCGCATGAGTGTCGGCAGGAGGGAGATCTGAGGTTGAGGCAAGCCAAAAACTTTCCCATTGAGTGGGCGACATCATTTGTGGCCACAAAACTGTTGTGGCGCCAGAGTCAAAGACCTCCAAAAGCCAGACATTGCATTGCCAGAATATGAAACGTCTGAAGAGGATGGAGTGGACCATCATGGGAAACCACAGGAAAAAATGGAGCTAGATAGGGGGGGAAAAGCGAGCAGAATGGAACAGCCGTGCGACGAAAAGGATATGGCGAAAAAGGCAGCAAGAGGCAGGAGTGGGAAGATTGTATGCGGATGGTCACCCAGGCTTTTTCGTTTGGTCCCCTTATCGTTTGTTCCGCTGGCCACTCGCTCTAAGAACGTAACGCCGCTGCCTAACCACCAACCCGCCGCCTACAGAACTCAACTCTGCTGTACTTAGCAAAGAGATTGGTCATTTCTCATTGAGTTTACATTTGATATGCAACTCAAATATAAGTGTGTAGGCACAGAAAAAAGCGAGGGGAAACGTTTTGAGGCGCGTCTCAAGTCAGTCCCCCACTTTTATACCCGGTACTCAGTCAGATTTAAAAATATTTTATCGGTTTCCATTTTTCCGCTATTGCTTTTAATTCTGCTACTTCTGTCTCTCTCTCTCTCTCTTCTCACACCAATACGCCGCTCTAGCTCGTTCGCACACGGCACGAGGCAGAGTGTGTGAGCGAGAGAGAGAGAACGAGTAGCGCTGCAGCGCTAGAAGGGGGCAGCTTAGCCACTGCAAAATAATTTCTTCATTCTGGCTATAATAATAATCCAATC